TGCAGGTTTGAAGCCAATTCATGCAAGAACCAAAAGAATCACACATGAAGGCAGCACTAAGGCTAGTTAGATATATTAAAGACAGTCCAGGCCGTAGCATTTTTCTCTCAGCTAATGGCTCTACTAGCATGGAGTGCTTCTGCGACGCTGACCATAAAGGCTGCACAAATTCAAGGTGGTCAGTTACTGGCTTCCTAATTAAGTTGGGGGGTTCAATTATTTGCTGGAAGTGTAAGAAGCAAAGCACAGTATCTATTTCTTCCGCTGAAGCAGAGTATAAAGCTCTAAGAATGGCATCTGTTGAAATCACATGGATTGTAGGACTAATAAAGGAGTTACATGTTCATGAGGTTGAACCTGTTACCATTTATTGTGACAGCAAATCTGCCATTCATATAGCTTCAAATCCTGTTTTTCACGAAAGAACCAAGCATATTGAAATTGACTGCTACTTTGTAAGAAAAAAATTGCTAGCTAAAATGATAAATTTCAAGCATGTCAAGTCAGAGGAGCAACTTGCAGACATCTTAACTAAAGCTCTTGGGGGTCCGCAGCATGAGTATATTCTGAGCAAGTTAGGAACTTGTGAATATAGAGTTCCTAACTTGAGGGGGAGTGTGGAAAATATTCAAATATGTTTGTAATTTGTTGGGCTTAGTAGTCCTATTCAGTTTGCATTAGTTATGAAATTGGGCCTACATATTGGACCCGGAGGCCTATAAATAGTCTTCTTGTGATCTGTTTTGGGTGTGAGATATTATCAATAATATAGAAATATTATTTTCAGTTTTTGGGCAAGGTCCATTATCACTTATCATGTTTTTGAAGAAAATATTAGCGGCAAACCTTGATTTTAGCTTTCGTCGTTTTTTAAACTATTTTTTTTAATCAAACTTTTCAGTCAAAAAAACAGAGGAGTTCCTTTTACACAATTGAACACCATAATATCAATGACCAATTTTAGCATATAAAAACAAACTCATTTCGGATGCACAAAGTGAGGTGCACGCTGTTATTAAGATGTTGATTTGTCACTGTTATTTTAACAATGCTAATTTTTTAAATTTTTATTTAAAAATAAGGGCTTTTTTTTTTTGGTTATATCTGATATCCTATACATACACGGAAGAATCTGCTGTTGATCATGGCAAGACAACAATCGTTTTTTTGCCACAAAAAATTGCATTATGTAAAACAGAGGGATCAAGGGTACAGGTAAATAGTCCCTGGTCTATTACAAGCCATAGAACCCAAGAAAGATGATACACAGCAATTCTTTTACTAAATTATTAGAAAATCATAATTTACAAATTAAAACCAACCACAAAAAAAAACCAACTTAAAAAAAAAAAGGAAGATACACCGCACTACTTAAAATTATAGGTAGCTCTCGACGCTTTCCATCAACGCAGACTAGATATTGCCATCATTCTGAATAACCCTTGCTAATCCATGCTCGGAGACCGCAGCAAGAGTAAGTTGAAGTCAAATTATCATGCATCAAATGGTAGCTCAGTGCTAGAATTTGACATAAATGGTATATAAACCATTGAGTTTATATTTTCATCTGATTGAAAAAGTGTTTGAATCACTGAATCTATAGATTCAGACTCAATTGATTGGGAAGGTATTTGAACCTCTAGGTTCACAGTTTCATTTGAGTGGAAAAATGTCTGAATCAATGGATCTTCTACTTCATTTGATTGGGAAAACATCTGAATTATTAAGTCCATAGTTTCATTTGATTGGGAAGGTGTTTATGTCAACAAACTTATAACTCCATTTAACTGGAAAGATATTTGAGTGTTTGAACTTATATTAGAAAAACAATATTCCTCAAAAACATAACAACCAAATATTAGTTCATTTGCTATCTCACATACGCCTTGTAAACTTTAAGAATTCCTCTACTTACTCTTGAATTCATAGACATATTTGCTTGATTTTAATCTTCAAGCATCACATTACTTAACTTTCTCTTATGATAAGTTTTTTCTTTTATCTTCTTCTCGCTATTCTGCTTTAATCAGTATAAAGCATGGGTCTTTTGTAAGTTGGAGTATAAAATTAGAAATGATAGTATTAATAATTTTGATTGAAAAAAAAAAATATTACACCAAATGACATATTAAGGAGAATGGACGGGATCACCATTTACCAATAATAAATATCAGTTACCAAACAATGAGAGACATTAAAAGAGTAATATAAAACCAATGACACTGATGCTATTGACTCTAAAAGTTAGACCTGAAAAAACCTCCCAATATTAGTTATATGATCATACACAAAATGGACAGAAACACGATATATACTCTTTATTTTCTAAGAATATCTGTAAATATATCTTTATTTTCTAAGAATATCTGTAAAGACATCTCGTAAGCAAATCAATACGTAATTTTGCCTCATGTGCTGATAAGGTAACACCATGATATTCATGGATTATCCAATTAGTTTTCGAGGATTATGTTTTTTTTTTTAATAAAAAAAACAGAATCTTCTTGGTCCCAATGACATTGTTAGTGTCTTGATCTATGACTTCACTGCCATTACCAGTAATGTTCTCCTGTCCCTCCGGGTACTGTTAGAGTGCTTATAATTGCAGGGACTGAAGAAAAAGCACTCCGAATCGTCAAACTGATTCGCCAAAAGCTCTGAAGAAGAACAAGAAAGCAAAATCAAACGCCATAGCATAGGAAAGATGACGAAGTCTAAGAAATTTGAAAGAAGAATTTAAATCAAAATACCTAGTATATCCCCCGGTTCGAGCTTGCAGGCATCAATCTCCGGGATGGTGTTGTGAACAGAAGGATCACGTGGCCTTCAATTTGCGGCGGAGGTAGTGAGCGACGAGCTCTTTCTCGGTCGGACGGAATCGGTATCCCACAGGCACACGTCTCTTCGTCGGAGCTGAATTTGGCATGGCTGTGTCACTGGTAACAATACAGCGTCGGAAAGGGCAAGATGCCTAAGGAGATTGAGGGAGGGAGAGAGAGAGGGAGAGAGAGAGTGGTCGGAGTTGGCAATTTGGATTCAAGGGAGCACTGGGCTTATCTCTTGAAGCTAAGAGCGGAAGCGCAGCTCTTCTTAAATAATGGCGAGATAAATTACAATTAACTTGAAAATAAACAGACGATGATGTGTGAGGACCTGTAATGTTCGGGCACGTAAAAAGTATAGAACCCGGCCCACAAACCGCGTAAGACTAAAGAGAATCTTTTGGTCTTTGGAGTCTTCCCCTCAGTTACACGGCACTTCACCTGTCCTTTTTTTTGTTCCCAGTCAGTTACAAGTCACAGGGGATATTTGGAAACTCCTGGAAGCGTTTTCAAGAAGTACTCCTCCGCTCTTTAATATATGACCTAATTTTTGAGTTGGTTTTGATCCTAAATATAAAACTCATTTCTTATATTTATCAATTTTCTCTAAATTACTCCTATAAATACTCCATCAACTATAATTAAGTAAAAGAGATAGGGGTATTAGGAAAAATGATTATAGTGTCTTAGGAAAAATGTGTCAATTTTCTTATAACTAACTAACTTACCTAACTTCTTTGATATAATCAAATTAGTTAAATGAGTCTTATATTAAGGATCGGAGGAGTATTTTTTTATAAAATAAGACAAATTTTTTTTTTACATATTTATTTCATAATCAGTAAAAATATTTTTAAAATTTTGATTTGGTTTCTATCCAAATATTTCCTTAATCCTACTCATCATAATATCTCTATTCTCTGAAGATTCTGGAATGGTATATTAAAAATTAAAAATATATAAATAAATAAGAAAACTTGCTCACCAAGGTTACGATTTTGAATATTGAGGGATTTTTTATGTTGAACCTCGTTCGGATGGTGACAAAAGTATATTTTCTCTGCTTTTTTTTTTTTTCCTCTAACCATGTTATCTTCTCACTCACATAACAAAGCATAAAATTTGATTTTCGCTCTATTTCATGCCGACCTTTTCATTCTAAATTTGCACAGGTTTTATCCTGACATCAAGGAATATGAAATCATAATAACTCTGAAAATACATAGGATCTAATTTCATCATTATTATCTTATTTTTCAACATAAAATGAAATGGTTATAAAGTGTTTTATCTAGTGATAATTTCAGCAAATATCCATCCTACCCAATTGTGATTCCGATTTCCAAATATTCTGAAATGAATAAAAAGGCAAGACTTGCTCCCCAAGTTTTAGAGCTGTAGGCTACGGAGGGACCCCACTATGTTTTCTGATGCCCCTCTTTGTTATGGTTTGTTATGCTCCCCACTAGGATTTGTCCTCTGACTTCTATCACATCATTTCACTAGTTCAGGGGCCCCGAAATGATTATCAAATGAAACTATCGTTTTGCAATAACTTATTCTCCATTTTCTTCCATGCCACATTCTTCAATTCTTTTTCTTGTCAAATAAAACCACTGTTGTGTTTTATTCCTATCCTTAAAGGCAATAGATAGGTGTTTTTCTAAATAAAATTTGAGAAAATTCTAAAAAAATATTTTTTAATTTTTTAAATTTATTGAAATTTTGAAATTTTAGAAGTATTTTTTTTTATAAAATTTTTTTGTGAAATTTTTGTAAACTAACTATATATATTATTTTCTCAACACTTCAATATCAATCACGTGTTTGGTATATAATTAAGGAAAAGCATTTTTCATTTTGAATACCCAAATTGATTATTATTATCATTATTATTTAACATTATTCATTTTCATTTTTATTGGAAGGTATATATATTTTACATTCCTTTGATATACTACAAATGGCTCGCCCACAATAGCTTGTAAACCGTTTTTTATCATGATTTACAAAATATGAAGTTAAAAAGTTAAAAAAATTTGATTTTGATTTACGTAAAACTTGCTTATAAATTATTTTAATCGTGATACCAAATAGGACCAAAATCTGTTTCTTGCTATCAGAAGTTTATACTGATGAACATGTTAATTGTCAGCCAAGGGGAAAAACATTAATCTCTTATAGCCAAAGAAAATAGTATTCATGCAAACATAATATAATCAGGAGTAGATCATAACTTAGTTACAGCAAGCGCTAAATCATTAAAAAAAAAGAAGAAAAAGAACAACTGATCCAAACAAACACTTAATCGCAAGAACACTTTAAAAAAGATACACACCACAATTGTACTTTCTCTCCTTTAACATAATAGATAGTTTTCCTTTCTTTATTGTCTCAACGCACGCATATGCCTGATACTCGTAAACGCTTCCAATTAGTCTTGATCATCCTCAAGCGGAGACGACAGCAAAAGCGAATCCACATCAAATGCGTCTTCTGGCTCATCACGCAGCATCTCATTGCTTGACCCCACTTCGTGCGGTGAGCCTCCAAAGTCACCTGACTCCGGAATTTGTACCTGAATCATATATCAATCATCAAATATCAGTTCTCATTATGTTTCACGTATTGAGCTGGCATATGAAATATATGAACAGTATACTTATCAGCAGCTCGAGAATTTTTCTACTTACTCCTGGAATCATATCATTTGCTTGATTTCCATACTCGGCAGCCATACCGTCATTTGGCTCCCTTGTCTCATCGGTTTTTTCTTTTGTTTTCTTCCCGGATTTCCTCCTTAGCTTACATAGAACATAAGTTCCCTGCCACATGGAAGAATAACCAAGCATTTGTTTGTCGGAACCAGATATAATCCGGAAGAAACGATTATACACAAAATGTTCTCCACATGAAAATTGGTGATAAACATTTAGTCACCAATTAGTTAAGTTTCCGCATTCTCCTAGATATAAGCAAACAAACAATAGAAGCTTACCTGGTTTGGAGGAAAAAAGTCATCACAATATTGATATTCATGAATGATCCAATTAGTTTTAGTGCGTCCTTGGTGGAAAACTAGACTCTGTTTGGTCCCAATAACGTTGTTGGTGGCAAGATCCCTGATTTCTCTGTCTTGACCTGTTACTTTCCAGTAGCCACTGGATGTTGCCCTGTTATACTGATTGCTATTAGAGTACTTGTAACAGCGAGGACTGAAGAAATACCATTCTGGGTCGCCTGACTTGTTCAGCGAAGACGATGGAACAACAGCTGTTGGATAAGAAGAAGAAGAAGAAGCAAGATCAAACGGCAGAGCATCATAAGATGATTGAAGCATAAATAATAATGCTACACTAAAACAGATATTGGTTTGTAGGAGAAGAAGATGAAGGTTTTGGATTATGAGACCTGGTAATTCCCAGGGTTCGAACTTGCAAACCTCAATCTCAGGGATGGTGTCGTGGATGGAGGGATCATCAGCCATCAATTTGTGGCGGAGGTAATGACCGACGAGCTCTTCATCTGTCGGGCAGAATCTGAACCCCAACGGCATATCTTGCTGCATAAGAGCTGGGTCCGCCATGGCTGACTCTCAACTATAACCTGATGAGTTTATCAAAGGGTAGGCGGAGAGCTTGAGGAAGACGAAACCTAGAGAGATAGAGAGAGAGAGTGTGTGCACTTGTGGTGTCTTTGTTTATTCAGGAACGACAGTGGAAGGCAATACTCCAAAGTTGGTCACTCGAAGCAAGACTCACATCGACATTTAAAGAGAAGGGAGTGAAATTCGAATTAAAATAAATAAAAATGATGCGGATATTATTTGTTTATTTATTTTTATCGAAGGCATATACAAATATATAGAAGTTATATATAATGGGGGTAACTAACAGATATATTATTTTGAAGGATGAAGTTCAAAAATTAAATAAATGACACGCCATGAAAGAATAATTTGTAGCGTCTTGGACAATCTTAGTAACTTCGGGTGAAGGAGGGGCAAGTGGATGACGTCATGCATGCAAACGACGATGCGTAGGAGGACTCGTAAGTTTTGGACACGCAATCAACTGTGGGACCCACTAACAAATAACCGTGTCCGTACAGGTCAAAGGCCAGCATAAGCGAAGAGAAAGAAGGATAAGTGGATTCCTCTTTCTGAGTTGGGGGCTTCCTCCTTCCTCATTCCTTCCTCCTTTCGAATTTTCATTGCCAGATTGCGACATTTTCTCTTCTCTTTTTTCCTTTCCGCTGCGATTCTAAATCAACTTTCTTTCTTTTAATCATCATCAAATCTCACGCGTTTTTCTCTGCACAGTGCAGTTTGAAAGACCAGTCGTACTCTTTTATGAAAACCAAGCATCTATCTGTGATTTATCTTATTCTTCAATTCGTGTAACAAATTAATAAAGCTTTCCATCATATTCCTACATCTATGCTTCTGCCTTTTTTCGCAAGCACCATTTTTTAGCTGACCTTGCAACACTTTGCTTGACTAAAGGGTACGGTCTTTTGGAAAAGAACAGAGACCAACGATGTATGATAATCTCAGTTGAATATTAATCGACATTGTTCCTTTATTTTAAGAAAAACGCTTTCAGCAAGGGGGGAAAAAAGAAGGAGAAGCGTTGAACCACAATTCAATGTTTTGGTTAAATGTACTGAGATAAGTAGCTTATTTTCCTATGGGCTTACTATTCTGTCTCTTATTATAAGATCCTTTTAACTAAATCGTGCGGTTTAAGAAAACAGTTAAAATAAGTTAAAAACAATTAATATGTAGCAAATAAAATTTTTTTTTCTAAATATGAGAAAGTAATAGTGAGATAAATGAAGAAAGAAAATGCATTAAATACATTAAATTAAAGGTAAAATAAGTAACACTGTATTAAATACTCAGATAAACTCAAAGAAGAGTTGATAAAAAAAAAAACCCATTCAAGAAAATTAGATTTTATAATAAGACACGGAAGGAGTATATCCACAAGGAGTAAAAGTTTTAGACCCTTTAATTCACAGAACATTTGATGAAAATTGCGAAGGAAGCTGATGAGGGATTGCATCATTTATGAACCCCCTTTAGTCAACTTCATTTCATACATTATCATAGGCAAAAGCCTTAGACGAAACTAGGAAGGTTCACCCCCTCCTTCATACCTCATAACCCACCAATAACGAAAGGCAACAGTGGAATCTCCCACATGGTACCACACACACACACACACACACAACAAAATAAAATAAAAAGGAAGGCTTGCATCCCAAGTTTGAAATTTTGAATATTCTGAATTTGTTGAAACATGGTAAGAGTTACTAGCAAAGTCTTTTCCTCTGTGTTAAACTTAAACCCCACCCACGACCATCTATCCCATCGCAAAGTGCTTCTTCAGTAAGGAATCTTTTTGGTCAGTTTCTCATGTTTTCACTTTCTATGTGGGGCTTGTTATGTCCCCCGATCCCCACCTTCATAAAGTTACCTTCTATACTCGCATCATTATGAGCCAACAGTTCGCTACGGGTGCATTTTCCTGATGACATCACATCCCAATAACCATATCCTTATGGTAAATTGGGGAGGATTTGGATTTTAACTCAGCTAGCTAATTTATTTGAAGGGACCTCCTAGAAGATGACAACCCTTCTATTGCTTCCATTGCTTATGGTTTCCATACTCTTCCTTGAATTGTTACCCTGTCTTCACCCTGCTTTCCTGGAATTGCTCTTTCTGCTGAACAGTAAAATGCTTCATTACAGGTCAACGGACTATCCTGAAGATTCAAAATGATGCAACCCTTTGTCTGATTATCATCGTACCGAACTCATAGCAGGCATGGTGGTGGTTAACTATTAGGATTAGGATTACCTCTCCCCTGTCCTTATCTTAGGATTTATTAACAAGGATATGCGGAACCTTTCCTCGAAGCCTGTTCTCAAGCAGTAGATAAGATACGAGCGGATAGCTTCGAAGTATGGATGAGACCTCTAAAAGCTTGGACGAGTAAATCTGGACTAATTTTTCAAGCCAAACTTTCTTAGAAGTAGTGAGTAACTAATACATTTGATAATTCTGCTTGATGGCGCCACATGTAAATAATCTCATAACATCCGACCACGATGGGAGTCACTAAGGACCTTTGTTGTTGTTTTTTTTTTTTTTGGGGGTGACATAAGGAACCTATTGAATACGACCAGCAATTATGAACAGCATCAAATGTTTCCTTGAGCAGATAGGCTCCTTTTTTATTTCAACAGTGCTCCGAAGAAAATTTTAAATTTACTACATAAAAACGGTTCACCTGCGTAGATTACTCAACAACACTAGTCATACCATAACATTTTAATCACAGAGAACATCAAATGACACGGCAACATTAGACGATCAGAACAGCTACAAAATCCCCATTACATAAGAAAGCTGTAGTGAGATTGCATCACTTTCGTAACTCAACCCATGCATCTTACCAAGATAAAAGTTTTCTAATACTCATAACCCAGAACAGTGACTATGAACAGAAACCTGGCAACCGCAAATAAAACATAGGATTGGGGACCAAGATTTCGGTTTAATGGTGTTCCCTACTGAACGAAAGAAACCCTATCATTAGGCTTCAATCCCTCCCACTAAGCTTTTCTCTGATTACAGTATGATTTCACTAATTAATGGTTCCTTCTGAGCCAGCAGAATGCATCATATGGGGCATGGGATATCAGGCAACAAGACTTTCTTTAAAGGAAGCATCGGCTCCCCTCTTATGGCAGGATTCTCCAAGTTTCTGCAGCAACTATCTCCTCTCAGGGATATTATTGATAAAATTATTCACCAAACAATGCAGATCGAAAGAGTTGGGCAATACTAGGGCATAACACAACAATTGTTCATTGAATTCCAGTAACAGCCATTAAACTTGCAACGTCTGGACAACCACTAATCATAATCCCACAGAACTGATGCTGCAATAACATGCTATAGCTTACAATCACATGAAAGACACAATGTTAATCAAGCAAGAAATGACAATATAAACAATCCCTTCAATTCTTGTGACCAATCTTAAGCAAATCAACGTCGTAGTTTCATTCTTGTCAAGGCAGAAGGCCTACCGGGCTTGCAGAAGAGGTAACTACAGAACATTCTAGGTACCAATGACATTGTTGTGCCCTGAAGCCCCAAAATTCCAGGAACATCGAGTGTTAGGACACCAACAATGTCATTGGGACCAAGAAGATTCAAGACCGTATTGCTCCAACCCGGTAGGCTGAACAGGGTGCCTAAAATCACGAGGTCTTTTGAGGGGGGGGGGAGGCAACTATCATAAATCATCCGAATTTGTCACAAAAACGCTGGGAAAGCATAACAGGGGCATAGAACAGGGAGAGAAATTCAAACGCCATATAAACAAAGAGTGAAGAGTATTAGTGTGCCATCTACGCTGGATTTGTTGCTGCCTGATAACGAAGCAACATGTACAGATTCCACGCCTACAAAAAGCGAAAGGGAAGGAGGAAGAATGAATGAAAAGCGGAGAATAGGAAATTCGGCTAAAAAAGGAAGGGACCTCCTTCTAGGGTTTCCAGGGTCCGGCTCCTCGCCGCCACCCGAAGAAACAGGAGGCCGATTTTTATTTTTCTGCTGGAACCACATCTTTGGACTTCTGTCATTTTTGGGCTGAACAACCCATCACATTGTTAACTAAGGAAAGCCCATAGCACCCATCAGCCCATCAAAGTTTAAAACCGAGCATATTCCAGAAGCATGGACCCCACAGTCTTTTCTAATGCTCTTCTTTATTATGGTTTATTCTGTTCCCCGCTAGGATTTGTTGCGTGACTTCTCCCATTTCACTGGTTCATGGAAAATAATTATGAAATTTAAGTATCTTTTTGAGGTCGCTTATTTCCCCTTTTTCCATATACAGTTTCACATTCAAAAATCAATACTACGATCCACCCTTATTTAATATACCATGTGGTTTCAAAAAATATTTTTAATAATAAAAATAACTCTTTTTTATTTTTGAAAAATCCTTAGATAGGTTTTACTAAATGAAATTTACAGATTACTTACTAATTCATTAATATGATATACAAATATGTTTTTTTTTTGTGGTTGAAATATGTTAAAAGTTAAACAAACGAGATTTTTTTAAAACGTGTAATGGGAAAATTTACAAAAAAAATGTATTGTCACTAGTTTTGATGCTTCTCACTTTGATGAATACCTCAAACTCATCGAATCTGAATCGTTCATATTTCATTTGAATTGTCTGGATTTAATTTCTTTTTTATTTTTATTTGTTAAAAATAATTATTTTAATATGTATAAAATCTGAAATATAAATAATATCTTAAGTATCAATTTTTTTTTGAAAAAATAATTTTTCTATTTAAAAACAATTAAATATTTTAAATTTAAAACCGTTCAAATCAAATACAAATAATCCAGATTCAATAAACTTAAAGTTTTCATCAAGATAATGTGCACTAAAACTGATTCAAATAAATGACATACTGTCATGTTTATTTACTAGCATCGATTTACTGGAAGGGATTGACTTAAAGGGATTGGATTACACCGAATCAAAATTATCTAAGAATTGAATTACAAGGGATTATCAAAGTAGGCCACAACTTATGACAAGCCAACTTAGCTAGCTATACAAACCAACCCTTCTCTACAAACAAGCTCGAAATCATTGGAACATTATATTGAAAAAAGATACCACAATTCCTTTTCCTTTTCTTCGTGTCTGACTGCATATACGATATTGTTACCACTTCCAATTACTCTGGATCGGGTCATCCATACTTGGAGTCGATCGCAAAAAAGAATTGATGAAATCAAGTTCTTCGGACTCATGTGAAATCTCAGTGGTTGAGTCCATTTCAGGCGGTGTTTGAATCATTGAATTCATATATGGGTTATATTGTACCTAAATCATATATAAATCAAATATCAGTTCCCATAACGTTTCACATCTTGACGAGCTAGCATGTGATTATATGAACAATATATATTTGTCAGTAGCTCAAGAATTTGTCTGCTTACTCCAGAAATCATACGGATGAGCCCTCTGAAAACTTGGACTAGTAATCTGGACTAATTTTTCATTCCAAACTTTCTTAGAAGTAGTGAGTAACTAATACATTTGATAATTCTGCTTGATGGCGCCACATGTAAATAATCTTATAATATCCGACCTGGACCTTTGTTTTTTTGGGGTCACATAAGGAACCTACTGAATACGAACAAAAATTATGGACAACATCACATGTTTCCTTCAGCAGATAGGCTCCTTTTTTATTTCAACAGTGCTTCAAAGAAAACTTTTAAGCCTACTACATAAAAACGGTTCACCCGCATAGATTACTCAACAACACTAGTTATATCATAACATTTTAATCACACAGAACATAAGATGACACGGCAACATTAGACGATCAGAACAGCTACAAAATCCTCATTACATAAGAAAGCTGTAGTGAGATTGTATCACTTCCGTCACTCAACCCATGTATCTTATCAAGATAAAAGTTCTAAAACTCATAACCCAAGACAGTGACTATGAACAGAAACCTGACAACTGCAAATAAAGTATAGGATTGGGGACAAGGTTTCGGTTTAATGGTGTTCCCTACTGAACGAAAGAAACCCTATCATTAGGCTTCAATCCCTCCCACTAAGCTTTTTTTCTGATTACAGTATGATTTCACTAATTAATGTTTGCTTCTGCGCTAGCAGAATGCATCATATGGGGCATGGGATATAAGGCAATAACACTTTCTTCAAAGGAAGCATCGGCTCCTCTGTTATGACAGGATTCTCCAAGTTTCTGGGACATCTATCTCCTCTCACGGATATTATTGATAAAATTATTCTCACCAAACAATGCAGATTGAAAAGGTAGGGCAATACTAGGGCATAACGCAACAATTGTTCGTTGAATTCCAGTAACAGCCATTAAACTTGCAACGCCCGGACAACCACTAATCATACTCCCACAGAACTGATGCTGCAATAACATGCTATAGCTTACAATCACATGAAAGACACAATGTTAATCAAGCAAGAAATGACAATATAAACAATCCCTTCAATTCTTGTGACCAATCTTAAGCAAATCAACGTCGTAGTTTCATTCTTGTCAAGGCAGAAGGCCTACCGGGCTTGCAGAAGAGGTAACTACAGAATATTCTAGGTACCAATGACATTGTTGTGCCCTAAAATTCCAGGAACATCGAGTATTAGGACACCAACAATGTCATTGGGACCAAGAAGATTCAAGACCGTATTGCTCCAACCCGGTAGGCTGAACAGGGTGCCTAAAAAAGAAGAAGAAGAAGAAGAAGCACCTATCATAAATCATCCGAATATGCCACAAAAACGCTAGGAAAGCATAATAGGGCGTAGAAGAGGGAGAAAAATTCAAACGCCATATAAACAAAGAGTAAAGAGTATCATAAATCATTCGACGCTGGATTTGTTGCTGCCTGATAACGAAGCAACATGCACAGATTCCACGCTACAAAAAGCGAAAGGAAAGGAGGAAGAATGAATGAAAAGCAGAGAATAGAGAAGCGGCTAAAATAGGAAGGGACTTCCTTCTAGGGTTTCCAGGATCCCGCTCCTCGCCGCCACCAGAAGAAACTGGAGGCCGATTTTTGTTTTTCTGCTGGAACTACGAGTTTGGACCCCTGTCATTTTTTAACCAAGGAAAGCCCATAGCACCAATCAGCCCATCAAAGTTTAAAAACGGAGCATATTCTAGAAGTATAGACCCCACTGTCTTTTCTGATGCTCTTTTTTATTACGGTTTATTAGGTTCCCCGCTAGGATTTGTTATGTGACCTCTCTCATTTCAGTGGTTCATGGAAAATAATTACACAATGTAAGAGTATCCTTCTGGGGTCGCTTATTTCCCCTTTTCCATATACAGTTTCACATTCAAAAATCAATATTACAATCCACCCTTATTTAATATACCATATAGTTTCAAAAAAATATTTTAATAATAAAAATAACTTTTCTTAAAAAAAAAATCCTCAGATAGGTTTTACTAAGTGAAATTTGTAGAATACTTATATATTCATTATTCATTAATTCATTAATATGATATGCAAATAAGTTAATTTTTTTGGCGGCTGAAATATGTTAGAAGTTAAACAAATTGAGATTTTTTTCAAGCATGTAATGGGAAAATTTACAAAGAAGATGTAGTAAATGACATACTGTCACGTTTATTTACTAGCATCTAATTTATTTGAAGGGATCTAGTTACACCGAATCAAAATTATCTAAGAACTGAATTACAATCAAATGTCAAAGTAGGTCACAACTTATAACAAGCCAACTTAGCTAGCTATATAAACTAAACCTTGTCTACGAACAAGCTCGAAATCATTGGAACATTATATTGAAAAAAGATACACACCAAAATTCCTTTTCCTTTAACATAAGTAGTTTCCTTTTCTTCATGTCTGAATGCGTATACGATATTCTTACCATTTCCAATTACTCTGGAGCATCCATACTTGGAGTGGACCTCAAGAATGAATTGATGAAATCAAGTTCTTCGGACTCATCATGTGAAATCTCAGTGGTTGAGTCCATTTCAGGCGGTGTTTGAATCATTGAATCCATATGTGAGATATATTGAACCTAAATCATACATAAATCAAATGTTAGTTCCCATTGCGTTTCACATCTTTACGAGCTAGCATATATATGACTATATGAACAGTATATATTTATCAGTAGCTCAAGAATTTGTCTGCTTACTCCTGAAATCATATACCCATTTGCTTGATTTTCACACTCAACAAAGATAGGCTCCCTTTTATCATAAACCAGCTCATCATCCGTTTTTTCTTTTGTTTTCTTCAATAACTTACATAGAACATGGGTTCTCTGCAACATGGAAGAATAATAATTCAAGTATCCATTTTTCAGAATCAGAGCATAGATAATCTGAAAGAATGATAGAGCAACACAAAATTAAATCAAATAATTGTGATGACCCCCATGAAAATTAGTGATAAACATTTAGACTCATCATGTGGCGTGTCAACGAACAAATTTTCCATGCACCTAGCTTGAACTAAACAAGGAATAGAAGCTTACTTGGTTCGGAAGGAAAAGGGTATGATGATATTCATGAATAATCCAATTAGTTTTCATGCCTGGAAGACGTTCTTGGTAGAAAACAAGAGTCTTCTTGATCCCAATGTTATTGTTGGTGACACGGTCCCTAATTTTCCTGTCTTTTCCGGTTACTTTCCAGTAGCCACACGATGTTGCCCTATTAAACCGAGTGCTGTTAGAGTACTTGTAATCGCAAGGACTGAAGAAAAACCATTCTGGGTCGTCCGACTTGTTCAGAGAAAACGACGAAACAGCAGCTGTCGGATAATAATAAGAAGAAGCAACATTAAACCGCAGAGCATCATAAGATGATTGAAGCATGAAGATTGTTAAAGAAAGACAGATATTGGTGTGTAGAAAGAGGATACGTATAGATCGAGGATTTGGATTATGAGACCTGGTAATTCCCAGGGTTCGTACTTGCAAACCTCAATCTCAGGGATGGTGTCGTGGATGGAGGGATCATCAGCCATCAATTTGTGGTGGAGGTAGTGACCGACGAGCTCTTCATCCGTCGGACAGAATCTGAACCCCACCGGCATATCTTGTTGCAGAGGAGCTGCGTCCACCATGGTTGGCTCTCAACTATAATCTGATAAACTTCTCAAAGGGGTAAGCGGAGAATTTGAAGGAGACGAATTAGCTTTGAGTTGTTTGTTTGGAAGAAACAATACAATGGAGGAAAAGAGACTTGAAGTTGGTCACTTTAAGTAAGCATAACTCGCAGTCACAGCTCGCTATAAAGGGGAGATAGTGAAATTGAAATTAAAACAGATAAAAATGAGGTAGATATTTGTATCTATTTTCAGTATCATGCATTGTTCAGCTATATCTTATTTTTTTTAACGAAGGACGAATCATAGGGTCATATATATAATTATATATAAAAGGGGTAACTAATAAATGATGCAGTATATTTTTGTGAAGGATGAAGTTTAAAATTAATTAAATAGATGAACAATCTGATGTGGCGTAATGAATAATCTTAGAAGCTTCGCCGTAAGGAATACTAACGTTAGTGGGGATAGACAACGTCATGCGCGCAGTAAAAGGTCTGTAGGAGGACTTGTAATATCTGGACACGTAATCAAGTGTGGGACCCACCAGTCAACCCGTGTCCTTTTTCTGAGATGGAGACTTCCTCCTTCTTCCTCCCTTCCTTCCTTCGTTCCTTCCTCCCTTCCTTCCTTCAGGTTTTGACCCTGAATTTTGATTTCTCTGTTGCAACTTTATCTCTTTTGTTTGTTTCCATCCCATTCTGTTGCGAGTCTCGATCAGATTTCTGTCTTTTAACCATCATGAAACCTCACGCGTCTTCACTGCTCAGCACAGTTTCAAGGACCAGTCATATTAGTCTTTCATGAGCTTCCAAGCATGTGATCTGATTCCGGTCAAAAAAAAAAAAAAGCATGTGATCTGATCTGTATTAGTCTTCGTGTAACACATTAATGAGACTTTTTTTTCCATGTCTTATTCCCACATTTTTGCTTTTGTTTTTCAATTCTTCTTTACAAGCACCATTTTTTTGGGGCGAGTTTCTGCAAAATGCAGCATCTGTTGAACCACTTTTCTGAGATAATGCATAAGTTCAATTGATCTTATTGCAGCGCTTTGTTTGACTAAAGGGTTCATCTTTCTTGAAAGAAGACCAATAGTGTCTGGTCATGTTCATTAATTATTGCAGGTCTCGTCAAAGATAGACTAATTTAAGTCCTAAACAGGAAAAGAAAAAGCCGAAAATACGAAAATTTGAACACTGCTGTGAATTAATTTCTAAAAACACGTCAAGGGCTGATGGCCAATCTCTTTTTATACATATGTTGACCCCACCATGACCATCGACCCATCGCAAAGTGTCCCTGTGACTCCTGTCTTCCTCTCGTCAAAAATCGAATCTTTTGAGTCAGTTTCTCATGCGTCTTTTTCTTTTTGATGGTTTGTCATGTTCCCCACCACCACCATCAGAAAGATTTTCAATTTAAAATCCAGCTTTCCCACCCTCAAGAATCTAGTTACTGGATCGGTGTTTAATAAGCTATCACCTTTTTCCTTTTAATAAAAAATAACAATTTATTCGGTACTCTTCACTAATATGGATTTGTTGAGTGGGTTTTAGCTCTAATCTATGTAAAATTCTTCTACCATCACTTTTTCGGTTTTTCCAATCATAAATTCACATAATTAAGTTTTACCATTTTGTAAGATCAGATAAATAAACACTGGAGTCATATACTGAACTTCATCTGCATTTTATTTTTCCCAAATTTCCTTAGGCGGATTATTGTAGGCGTCAAACTATTAGTAATACACATGAGCCAAATGGAGATGAATAGGATTGTTCTGACCTATGTTTAAGTATGCATTGTGCGGCAACTATGAAGAAGTTTTGGAACCTGTCTTCTGCACTTTTAAACCACTTTCCTCTATAATATCATATAATCATAGTTACAATGGCAATTCTAATGGAAACTCAGCAACTTTGACTCATATAACATTTTGATTTGCAGAGGGAAGTTACAAAAAGTACACGACAAACTTGGACCGGACTTGATGATCATAAACAACTTGTGTAAATGATATTTTTCTTATTAAGGTTTTCATGTAGGTGTTGTTTAGGAGCCTATAGACATATGGCTATGAGCCCTGTCCTGGCAGACGTGGGGTTTGTATAAGTAAGAACAGCACATTTTAAAAGGTTTGACTGCCTTTTCATATATTCATGCTTTTGTGGTCTGTAAATATTAAGGCTAGTTTCACTGTTTTGTGAAAGACACAATCTCCCATTGAAAACGCCCACAAAAGGTCACAAGAACAGTGCACATATGGAGGCATTTCTGGCTGCAACAGGGGGCATCCTAAAGCTGATGGCACTGCAAACTCAAACTGTGAAGAGCTAGCCATGGAGGCCTGCACAATATTGCAGAAGTATATTGCACACAGATATATATATATATATATATATATATATGTTAACCCATGGTGTGTCAGTCCATAGTAAATAAAAAGCTTCACTTTCGGCTCCTTCTTTTAGGACCTTATTTTCATCCAAGTTGTCTTTGCCTCTCATGCTTAAAAATCATTTCCAAATGTAAAGCCAACTCTTTCAAACTTCCTGTGCTAGACATGGAACCAATTTTATGTAATTGTAGTTTTTCGAGATCATTGTGTCAGCTTTTACTTGATACACATTTCTTATTCTGTCAGGATTTGTTGTGTGTTCTGTTCAGAGAAAGTGCAGGCTCTGAGCTCTATATATGTTCTTGGCTGGCCTGAAATATTTGGAGATATTGAAGGGATTCTGGCAAGCAGGGATGGTGCTATAAAGGATTTTGTGTCCATGTTTCCTCATTCTATCATTCTATTACTCATTTACTCTATCAAATGATACTGAAATTATTTCCATGGTGGTCCAACCTTACTAAGTTCAATTTTGGTATTTATTTTTTCTCTTAATTAAATAAGCAAACACTAATAACTTGAGGTAGGAGTGAGAAATGAACTCCTACCTGTAAAAAAGTTTTCATGTTACTAGGCCACGAGCCATTAACTTTCGTCTAAAGCTTTTATGAATAATTGATTTAATTTCTTAGATTTGGTCAAAATCATGAATTCCATTTCTCTTAATGTGCTTGGCTTGGGTATTACATTTTCAATCAATAGCCATGAATTTAAATGATTAAAATATTTTGAAAGTACATGTCATATAAAAAAGGTAAATTTCAATGTTCAAAATTGGACTGCAAGATATCTGATATGCTTCCATACTTATGTCAAAATGGAGTTGGAAGGCGAATTTGCATGTTTTAAGGAAAAAAGGATAGCTGCAACATGAAAGCAGACTTTTTGTTTTTTTTTCTTTTTGGCCATAGCGTGAAAGCACAGTCTGCTATTATATGTTTCCCCCCACTTCCTGATGATCAATGTCCTGTTATGATCTGAAAAAGCAAGAGTCTTTTGAAAGCTTCTTTTGAGAAGTTTGAAATAGAAGCTTATGCTCATTATTCTGATATTTAAAATTTTAAGGAACCGCGGAATATGTTTAAATCCTTAGCTCTCAATGCTTTATTAGTATGTTATTTTCTTGGCTTTAAAATATTTATAAAGGGATTATTTTAAATGTTGGTAAATAAAAAATAATATGAAAATTTCCTTTAATTACCTCAACGAAATAGATGTTGCCCGCAATGTTGTTTTGTTATTGTTATTTGCCCATGGGAGGGTCTCTGGCTAATAAAGAATAACATAAGCAGGGATATTATGGTACTAACCCTAATTCTTAATATAAAAACTAGTTTGAGATTTAATTTAGTTTTAAATATAATATCCTAATTCACTTTGTCTCTCATATTTATTTATTTTTTCTTAATATAATCTTTATAACTGTTGCACATGTTAAATGTTTTATCAAATGATAGTTCTAACTTTTGACTAGTTTTTTTATCTTTTTTTTTCACTAGCAAATGACAGTTATAGTTAACACACATTGGTTTGTTTCAATTAGTGGTAGAAAATGTAACTTATTTGAGTAAAAATTAGATTGGATAATATGATTTATATTTGAATCGACTTTCATAAAACTCAGCTTGTAAAGTTTAAAAAAAAATTGTTTGGATTATGATTGAATAAGTAAGTTTAGTTTGTAGAATGATCAAAATGGACATGAATTTTATTAAATAATAAAAAATAATTAAAAATATTAATTTACATTTTAAATTATTATAATAGGAAAAATTATATTTAATGAATAAGATATATTTAAATCAGAAGTCTAATGTAAAAATTTTCAAACCAAATAATATAACATAATTAATTGGATAATATACTCTGTGTAATACTGTAATTTATGTAAATATAAAATTAAAAATAATATTAAAAATTAAAAATACTATAAAAATTATTAAAAATTATTTTTACTTGAGAGAATATTAAAAATAAATAACTAACAACTGATTGGGAAGTACAAAGAATATATAGAGAGAAGCATAAAAATAACATAAACATAAGGGCAAAAATATCTTTTAATTTCAAAAAGCTATTTTTACATAATTCACAAGTATTCCTCTGGTTCTATTTATAGGGTAAAGAGAGAAGATTTTTTTTTATTCTATTTATAAATCACTTCATTAAATTTTTATCATGAATTTACTATATTGTCATTCATTTATTATAGTATAGATAGTTATTTTTTTTAAAGAAGTATATATTAAATATAGATAAAGTTAAAAAAGTGTTATATTTTAATGAAGAGTTAATATAGTTCAAGATTTTTCTTGGTTTGTGTGAAACATGTTGGAAATACCGTATAAATAGAACCAGAAAAGTAAGTTTTAGCTGCTTTTGTAATAATTGTGTTTTAAAAAGCAGCTTTTAACCCATAAGTTAAATTGGCTAAAAGTTATGACAAACAACTCCTAAATTTGCAAACTGACTTATCACACCTATAAACTATTTTTCCCCCCTACAAAATGCCTTACCAAATAGGCTGATTATTAGCAAGAGTATTTTAGAAAAAACAACATCTGTTTATTACAAATAACTAATTTAACAAATTTTTTAATTTATTTAAATTAGTTAACTAGTTTTTATATTAAGAACGGTAACTAATTTATTACATGCAAAAAATTAATATAAAAAATTAGGTTTATGTTCTCGTTGTAAAATACGATAATAACGACTTATTATATTTATATTTACAGTTTTATCCCATTTAATTAGCCTATCAACTTCTACTAGGCTTTCCCCAGACTGCAAGTTCTCAAGTTAGTCTACAGTCTACACACATGGAGCGTATGTTATGTTAATAGAATAATAAAAAGTCGAATGTCGTAAGAAACCAGGAACTCTGGTTTTGGCGTAGACGTTAAATTATCAGATCTCAAATCCTCATACAATGTCCTCCCAAGTCCCATCCCACGGCCTAAAAAAATTTGGCCAGGGATCACACCAAATCGGTTAGGATTCTGCACAAGGTTGATTCCACGCACAAACTACAAATAGCACTTTACAGGGATGCTTTTATTGGCTTTACACAGAGCTACACCAACACACTTGTACATAAAAGTTACATAATACCATGCTTGCTCTTGGAAAAACAAGGCTGCTTAGGTTGGATAAGACAAAAAGTATTTTCCTGGGTAACGACCACAAACCATTCTTCACCTCAAAACTTGATTGTTGCCGCCTGCTTGCGCTTCAGATTACTCACGCCATTGAAAAAGCAGTTCTTCCAAGCGGGAAGGCATTAACAGAGCTTCCCACATGATAGCATTTCCCAAATAATGAATACAAACAGCAAAAGCCCTATAACAACATTGCCAAGATATACGAATGGCGGACTAAGGTTTTGGCTTGATGGTGTCTCCAGTTGAATGGAAGAATTCCTCCGACCGACACCAGAGGATTCCTTGCTTGCGGCTTTTGAAGTATTTCTTTTATCAGTAACCTGTGCTTCCCTCTTATTATTGTTTGAACACTCCAGTGTTTCTTTCTGAGCCTGCATGATACGTCATATGGAGAATGGGATATCAACAAGAAGGTAAAATAAGGTTGTCTTCCAATGAAGCATCTCTGTCAAGACAAGCATTTTTATTTTTCTAGCGAAGCACAACTTGGCTTTCTCAAATTCAGATCCTTTGAAGAACTTCACCACGATGAAGTAGAGAAAGATAGAAACCGAATAGTGGGTCTCACCTCTACCCATGTAGAGGCCTAAGTGAGACCCACTATTTTTTTTTTTCCTATCTTCCTATACTTCAACAAGATGAATCATCTCTGTTAAGACAAGTCTCTGCATTTTCCCCATAAAGTGCAGCTTGGTTTTCTCAAATTTAGATAATGAAGTAGACAAGGATAGGAAAAGAATAGAGGGTCTAGCTTCGGCACATTTAGACTCCATATAAGCAAGACCCACTATTTTCTTCCTATCTTTCTATACTTCACTAAAATGAAGCAACCCTGTCGAGACAAGCTTCTCCATTTTCCTTGCAAAGTGCAGCTTGATTTTCACAAATTCAGATCCTCTGAAATATTTCGTCATGATGAATTAGGGCCTGTTTGGGTGCTCCAAAACCGTAGTTTCAGAAGTATTTTTCCGCAAAACGAGGTAACCTCCTCCACATATTTACTTCGTAATCCGTAAAAACACTTCTGAAACCATGGTTTGGTTTCTATCCAAACACTCCCTTAGACAAGATAGGAACAGAATATCGAGTCTCAACAAAAGTAAGACCCACTATATTCTTCCTATCTCTACCTCATCCCCTGAAGTATTTTAAGGACCCGAATTTGATTTTCTCACCTCATTATATGCCTCTTTGGTTGAAATCTTCCTATGTGTTTGAGATCTTCTTGCCCCAGGTCTCAGTGACACAGAGCTGGCTGATCTTGGTCGATATTGGGTTTTGCACGTCTTTAGAGTGGAAGCAGAGCTAGCAAGCTTTATCCGATTGATCTTGAGTGGTCTAGCAGGGGTCGAGTCCCCAGAGGAAGAGTCCACGTCATATTGAAAGGATCTGCCCTTTTTCTCTTGTTTTGCTTCTTGGTTCGAAGAAGGTTCAGAGCTGTTAACCTCTGAAATTAGCATGATTCCACCCCTTGGACCATCATATTTATTAGATTTGGTCGAAGTATCTGGAATATAGCCATACTGTAACAATTTCCAAAGAGAATATACAGATGGTGTTAATTCTTCATGTCGCCAAAAAGAAAACCCAATAAAAAGAAGTGTGCTTCTGAAGTACTCCTCCGGTCCTTAATATAGGACCCAATTGTTGAGTTGGTTTTGGTCCTAAATATAAGACTTATTTCTCATATTTATCAATTTTCTCTAAATTACCCTTATGGATACTCCCTCAACCATAATCAAGTAGAAGAGAAAGATGGGGTATTAAGAAAGATGATTATGGTGTTTTAGAAAAAATGTGTTACTTTTCTTATAATTAACTAACTTACCTAACTTCCTTAATCTAATCAAATTAGTTAAATGGATCTTATATTAAGGACCGGAGGAGTATAATACGCCAGAAATAAGTAATTCACAGGGCATAGCAGAATAACAACGCTAACTCCAAGCTAAAATTTCATTCGCTTCTCAGAAGCTATAGGAGAAAATCAATTTATATTGTAGCAATAATCCTGGGAAATGCACATCACTACAATGCCCTCAATGATTTTAATCTACACAACGATGTTTTGTTTACGAGATATTAGAGATATAGTTCCAATAATATTAGAAGAATGTATCTTTACCTGTGCAGAGACAACTTCTGCATCTGTGTCACTGCTTTCACAGTGCACCATTCTCAGAGGTTGAGAGGGGTTGAACCCATGGACAAAAGCATCTTTCCTTCCCTCGTTCACAGACAGGTCCACCTCCTCCTCAAACAGCTCCAACTCCTCCTCATCATCGGCAAAGATTGAATTCATGAACACGTCAGCATTGTCTTCCTCTTCAGTAGTTTGTAAATTCCAGTTTACAATGCTGTTGTCATTTCCTGTATAGGAATTGAGCCTTGGGGAAAATTGGAAAGAAAATTCCTGCCCATTGACTATGGGAGAAAGAGATAAGAAGTCTGTGTCAACTTCATCTGCTGGGTGTAGTGTCTGAAAAATTGAATCCAGATTGATTGAGGGCGAAGAGGGTACCTAAAACACATATATAAGCCAATTGTTAGTTCTCAGCATGTTTAACACACTATGCATAATTGAAGAACTAGCTCTCAATGTGTCCAAGAATTCTTTTGCTTACATCCGGGATTCTGCTCCCACTTGCTAGAATTTCAAGGTCAGAAGGCACATTGCTACTCGGCTCCCCTTCATCAAAGATTAATGCATCGGTTCCCCCTTCTGCTCTCTCAGGTTTCTTCATTAACTTGCATAGAACAAAGGTCCTCTGCAAAATTTGGAAGAATGATCAGGCATTCATTTGTTAGAACAAAGCACAGTAAAAGCCAAGACAAACCAAGCTCATCCTTCAAAGTCGGGAAGCTTGTTGCCTGAACAATTCAATCACGGCAAGAACCGTAAAAGAATAATCGGTATTGAACTTATATTCCATATCTTGATTTTCTCGGTTGATATATACAAATTATCCTGTCATTTTTTTTCTTTTTAGTTTCATATCGTATAACATATATTATAATAATAAAAAAAAAAGACTTATATACATCTGAAATACGCCTAGTAAAAAAATGAATATTTTTGGTATTGACTGTTTTACCACGCAATCAATGGTAAACATTTCCAATCAAATACTGTGATGTAAAGAAAATTGAGCCATAAAAAGAGTAAAACACAATAATTTCTCATGGTATTCCAGTAGCTAGAGTCGTGAGTCGTAACCACTACCAGAACCAGAAATTTTGAAACCCAAAAAACCCATGTCATAGAACGTAAGCGCAAAATGTTAAATTAAGGAAGCGTTGATGTTTGATAATGCCGAGAAGCATTTCGATCCAAACACCTCAGATGCCCACCAATCCCTGAGCTTACTATTCTATGAAGCCTACCTTGTCAGCAGGAAATTCTAAAGCCTGATATTCATGGATGACCCAGTTGGTCTTGACGCCATGAGGAACACGACCTCTATAGAAAACCAGAGTCTTCTTGGCCCCGATGATCTTGTTGGTGCCTCGAACCTTGATGTCCCTGTCTTTGCCAGTGGGTTTCCAGAAGCCACGCGATGTTGCCCTGTTAGACCGAGTACTATTAGAGTACTTGTAATGGCGAGGACTGAAGAAAAACCATTCTGGGTCATCCGACCTGATCTTCGAAAACACTGAAAACAGCACAAGTAGACAAAGAAAAGAAGAGGAAAATCAAACCCCACTGCATGAGATCATTAAAGCACACAAGTTTAAAAGAAAAACACACACACATATTCCAATTTAGAACGGAGTTATACCTGGTAAATCCGAGGGCTCGTGCTTACAAACGTCAACCTCGGGGATAATCTGGAGAACGAAATCTTCACCGATCAATTTGTTGGTCAGGTAGTAATCCACGAGCTCTTCATCTGTTGGGCGGAATCTAAATCCCACAGGCATAAATTCCAGCAGTGGACCTGGGTTCGCCATTGTTAGTTCAAGTATACAATAAGCTTACGAAATGGAAAAGCAGAGAATTGGAGCTGAAGCTTGAGAGAGAGAGAGAGGGAGAGAGAGAGAGGGAGAGAGGCTTTCAGTGAAGGGTGCTCGGAGCTCGCCTTCGCGACGCCTTCGCTATTTGTAGTGCGAGCAATAGTAGAAGGCATTGACTGACTGCGTACTTCCGTGGTGGCTTAACTCAGAAGCTACCTTTTTTGACACCAACAAAAAAACAATTATAATTTTAAACTCATTTTGTTTTAGTTTTAGCGAATAAACATTTTTAAGCGGATAAAAATTAAATCAAAATTTTCAAATAAAAAATGATTATTTATTTTAAATTTCAAAAACTAAAATTGGAGATATCATAGCATGATAAGCTAGTACATGTACATATTTGTATACATTATTTGTGTTTTCTGTATTGTATTTTTTTATTTTAATATAACAATTTTTTTTAATAACAGTAATGAAAGAAGCTTCCTCCTTTTGTATGTGTGATATCAATGACATAAACCAACATTACAAAAGTATTTATAAACACTTTTACGTAAGTTGAGATAAAATTTTTATCATATTCTATAAATTATGTTTGAAAAGCTACTTATAAATCATTCTAAATAATTCTTAGTCAATAGATTCTACAACTAATTTTACAAATTTGAATTTTTGCATCAATAAAAATAAATAAACATAACATATCTGAGAAAGCAGATAAAACAATAGAAGCAGGAAATGGAATATAAATTTTATTTCATTTTATATCATATATAATTAACACACTCCACTTCTATGATTGAGTTGACGTCGACATGCCTAGGTCATGAAAAGAAACATATCGTAGCAGCTTCAAAACCGTGTTTGTTTTTACTCAAAAAATTGCTTGGAAATTGGAATGGAACACCGCGTAAGGGAGGAATGTGGGTGCCGACTTGGACGCTTCCCCACCACTCTTTACTCTTTTCTCTTCTTTCGGATAACCTACGACACTGTCTTTTTTTTATTACCAGAAATCTACGACACTGTTTACTCCTTTACAATCATCATTTACATATAAAATAAAAGATTAATACTTCTACGCCTCTAAATATAAAAGCCAAGTAGATTTTATATTTAAGACCGAAAAAGTATAATTTTTTATCCCTTAAATTTAGTAATTTAATTTTAGTATCTCAAGTTTCAAATCATAAATTTCTTCATGACACTGTCTTTTTTTTTTTTTAACCAGAAATCTACAACACTGTCTACTCTTTCACAATCATCATTTATATATAAAATAAAAGATTAATAATCCTCCGACCCTAAATATAAAACCCAAGTGAGTTTTATATTTAGGACCGAAAGAGTATAATTTTTTATTCCTTAAATTTAGCAATTTAATTTTAGTATCTCAAATTTCAAATTATAAGTTTTGATTTCTCAAGAAACAACATGACTCAAGTTTTTATTAAATTATAGGAACCGGTATTTTAAATAAAAAGAAACTTGAGGGACCAAAAGATATGGTTTGAAACTTGAGAAATTAAAACCAAAATAAAAATAAACTTAAAACACTAGAATTGTATTAACCCTGAAATAAAACAACAGGTACTTTTTCATTTACATAAGGATTACAAAGAGAGAGAAATGTGCATATAAACAACAGCTACTGTTTTCATTTATATAAGGATTACAAAAGGAGAGAAATGTGCATAAAATGACAAATATTTCCTCTCGCTTTAATGCAGAGACGATTTTTTTTGGTTAGATATAATAACAAGATAACAATCTAAATGCATATTAATCTTATTTTATAATTCTAATAATAAACATTTTTTTTGGTTCGGGATCAATTTTCAGTTAACCATAACGTGCGTTCCGTGAGATAGCAAGAAATGAAAATAAAAGCTTCTTTTGAGTTGCTAAAAAGATCGGCTAACCATATTTTTAATAGAAGTGCTAGCTGATCAACCAATAAGGATTAAATCCAGAACTAGTTCTGCATAACGTGGTGAACCAAGGTTCTAATTCCTACTGGGAGGAGTGCCCTCATTTAGTATCTGACAATATCTCAAATAGGTTTATATTTAAAACCAAATTAAATATCAAACTAACTACAATATTAAAAACGTGAAGAAATAAAATGTCTAATATACTCTAATAATTATAAATATAGGTATAAAAATGATATATTCAATTAACAGAAATATTTAATGAACTTTTTAATCCACATGCTTGTGAAATTAAATACAATTTGTAAGCATCTCGTGTAAAATTTAAAAACGAATTGGTTATAAATGATTCAGTTAAAAAAAAAAAAAAAATAATGACCAATGATAGGAGTAAAAGGGGAGAATTTCAGTACAGTCCCACAGAAGCCACATAATTCCCAATAGGTCCCAAAAGATTGTACTCTTTTAATCTTTAATATAAGATCCATTTAACTAATTTGATTAAATTAAGAAAGTTAGGTAAGTTAGTTAATTATAAAAAATATGACACATTTTTTCTAAAACACCATAATCATCTTTCTTAATATCTCATCTTCCTCTTTTCTTTGATTATGGTTGAAAGAGTATCTGTAGGGGTAATTTAGAGAAAATTGATAAATATGATAAATGAGTCTTATATTTAGGATCAAAACCAACCTAATAATTGGGTCCTATATCAAGGACCGAAAGAGTAGAATTTCAATAAAGAATTAAAAGACCAAAATGAAATCATGCTTCAATATTAAAATACCAGAATCCCCTTTCTTTTTTTAAAAAGGAAAGTTGTACTAAAATTCTCCCTTCAAAAGACAAGTTCCTTCTCTGCACCATTACTGTTGATGACGGGCGATATTGGTAGCCTTTTTCTCTTCGTTGGTGACATCCTTGGACTCCCTCCCTCTCCCCCTCGCTAAAAGCTTCTCCTTCATCTCTCTTTCTCTTTGTCACCATCTTCTGTTTGCTCGACCTGCCTTCACCTTCATCTTCCTTTCTTAGTCCTTTCTTAGCAAACTGTCATGGCTTGTCACTGCACCAGATCTGTTCTTTGTTTTTTTCTTTTTTTTCAATCCGGTTTTTGTGTTTCAAAACCTACTTTTTCATACTTGTTTTCTTAGATGTGTTGGGGAGGGAAAAGGAACAATTCGCAAAGCCAATGAAAATTACAAAGTTTGATCTTTGCTTTCCAAATCTGGTTTTTTATGGTTTATTTTTTCTGTATCTGACGTTGGAGATGGAAGAAAAACAAAGCAAAAGGACGCCTTTTCAAATGAAGAAGGAGGTCGTCAGGGTCGCGGGTCACCGGCGAGGACGGTGTAGAGACGGAACGGGAGAACTTTAGTCTAATTTAAATGTTAGGCATTTTGGCAATGTAATATTGAAGCATAATTTCATTTTAGCCTTTTAATACTTTACTGAAATTTTACAATCTTTTGGTACCTATTGGGAATTACGTGGCTTCTGTGGGCCTACCCTGAAATTCTCCTGTAAAGGTGATAACTTTTAAGTTTTAATAGCACTTAGCTACTCCCCTGCTTCTATTTATAAAGTAAAGAGAGAAGATATTTTTGGTCCTATTTATAGGACTCTGAAAGAAATTTTTTATATGAATATATAATTTTACCCCCCATTTATTATTATATTGACTTTGTTTATATGAGGTATAATATATATTAAATAGGGATAAAGTTGGAAAGTTATTAAATTTTAAAGGAGAGTTAATGAAGTTTAAGGTTTTTTCTAGCCTGTGCGAAACATACTGAAAATGCCTTATAAATAGGACCAAAAGAATACTAGTTAAAATCTGACAACTTTTAATAGTCTCTGTCAAATTAAAATATAAACTAAATTTTGTGAGAGGTGTTTGGGTTTTTTTTTTTTTACAAGATAGTATTTATTTTTATCTAAACATTTAATGAGTTTTTTTAAAAAATTTTATTCTCATACTTTTTTTTTATTCAGTACATCTTTCACTTATTTTTTATTAATAAGGATATATTTAAAAAAATAACATGACTTATATATTGATTGTTTCAAACTGATTTTAGCTAGTTTTTTTTATAAACATAAATAAATAAAATTTAACTTATATTTTGAACAGGAGGGAATAACACCCAACTTTTTAAATCCAAATAACATGGTTAAATAAATAGGATAATTTTAAAGCTTTAAACTTAGAGAGTGGCAGATAATACAATTGTTAAGGGGGTGAATAATTAATGAAACAAAGAAAAGTTTTTTGCTTTTGGGCAAAATGAAATATAGTACTCCTCCTGTCCTTAATATAAACTTAATTATTGAGTTGATTTTAGTCTTAAATATAAGACCTATGTTTCATATTTATCAATTTTTCTTAAGTTACCTATATAAATAATCCCTTAATCATAATCAAGTAGAAGAGGGAGAGAGGATATTAAGGAAGATGATTATAGGGTTTTGGGAAAAACATATCATACTTCTTATAATTAACTAATTTACCTAACTTTCTTAATCTAATCAAATTAGTTAAATAGCTCTTATATTAAGAATTAGAGGAACTGCTATTGATTGTTTGATCTCCTCTTCGTTCAATGCTTTGTTTTTTTTTTTTTTGAGCTGACAATGCCTTGTTTTTATTGAGAAATGATCACAGCCTCTTATGCTTGTCTCAAGAATTCATACTAACAAAGGAAATATTGATGACTCTTGACTTGTCCTTAAACGCGCTGTGCTTCGGTATGTAAAGTCTTCAATGGCCTTGAGGGCCCATCGCTGCTTTGGTGCGGGGCCCAGGAGGATGTTTGTTTTTTTGACCAAGGGGCCCAGGAGGATTTACAGAAACAACGCTTTGTCAAGCCCGAGTTTTGTTGATTGTAGAAAATGCGTTGACACTAAAGATGAATCTAGTGGAATATGCTATTTATTTATATCGTGACTAGTGAATATTTAAATTTAGAAGTGTTTGTATTTAATGGCAAAAAATTATTAGGTTTTGTGGCAAAAAATATATACTACCTCCGATACTTAATATAAGATCTGGTTTAACTTTTATTTTGATTGTAAATATAAGATCCTAATCTATTTTGTCTCTCATATTTATATATTTTTTCTCAAAATAATCTTTTTAATAATAATAGTTCTAACTAATATATTTGATTAGTAAAGATATTTTAA